TTAAAAAGCATTCCTTTAAAGGTTTAAAACATGTCTGAGTGAATGATGATTTAAATAAGGAAAATGGTCTTTTCTGCTATGACCCTCTATATTTCATGAGATATCCTACACATAATCACCCTTATCTTTTTGAGGAGAACATGCTGCCTGTCCTTTAAAACTGGGACTAATTATGCTTTCTTAAAGTTTACAGGCATCTAAAAGGAACCACACTTCAAAGTGCAGAAAGAAAACATCCCAAGGCAGTATCAACAATAAAACAGGCAAACAACAACAAAAATAAACGACACATAAACCAGACCAAGAAACCCTCAGAATGTCCAGAAACTTTGAAGTCAGAGCTGTCAGGAAATGTTTTTTGATTTTCTATTTTGTCCATCTCATAGCAACCATAATTATATAAAAATTAACTATGATTCACTAGAAAACAAAAAATAAAGAATTCTATTGTAAAATATTTCCCTAACAGCTTTCTAGGGTTTTGTTTTTTTTCCTTTGTGTGTGTTCTCTCGTTTATAGAACATATCAAAATTTTAAGACAGAAACGACTGGCACATGTTAGATTTAAATTGCAAAATGTTTTGAGGATTTATCCAAAGGAGTTAATACAAAAGCAGGAAAAATTTTTATGTACAAAAATATCTTTTCTGCATTATTTTCCCCTCCTGCACCCCTTAGAGAAGTTTTTAAAAAGTGTTAACTTATTTGTAATAAGTGATTTGTACCTACTAGCCTGAATAAAACACATGGTTCTGAAAACTCTGAGGCAACGTGATGAGAATTGTGGTACACCAGCCAGTAAAAAAACAAAGACAGAAAGATAAAATAGAAAACTGTCTGTTACAAGCTGAAAGATGTTGGCAAGAAATATTTGAAAATAAGTTGAAATTTGTGTTTGTTTAACGTCAGAATTGTTGGAATTTTTTTTTTATTATTTTTTGGAATGGCTTTTTCAATTTCCAACTTTGTAAAAAATGGCTTTATTTTTCACATTTTTTTTTTGCCCTCTGAATGTTCAAATTAAAGGAAAATGGGGACAGAATTCTGTCCTTAAATGGAATCCAGTTTCAGTGTTTCAAAGCTAGAGGAGAGGAGTTGAGCAAACACTTTCCTAGGAGAAAAACCTAAGAGACAAAAGCAAGAAGTGTAGTAACAGTGAGTAATATCACACAATAAATGTAATTGTTAAAGAGAAATTTCTCCTTCTGGTGTATTTTTAAGTCATACATTTTTCTGTTAAGATTCACTTTTCCTTAAAAAGTAGGGGGAACCCCCCCACAATGTCTGTGTTTAACACCAAACCCAAAGCAAAACACTCCAAGAGGGAGCTGAAATGTCTTGTCTTCTCCTCCACTAACCTAGGAATGTGAGTCCTAACAATAAAGAGCCCTTCTGGCAGGTTCATTTCAGCGATGGGAGAGCATTCATTGCAGAGGAATGAAGCATCCCCAGCCCCAGCCTAAAACAGTCAGGTCACTGAGGAGGCAACCTTAGGTGGGGGCTTTAAATCTGCACCTCACCCCAGCTGCCCCTACTCTCGCCTCCTTAAAAACCTCTGTAGCCCTTGACTGTAAACACAGAAGCCCTGTTTTGTGGGGGGAAGGGATAGGGTGGGAGAAAGGATTAGAATTTAGTGAAACTGCTAACTTTAAAAAGAAATCAGTGTGAATAGAAATAATTGGGACTTTGTCAATGAAATAATTTTAAAATATTTTTAAAATACCGTGGAAGCAGTCTATTCTGAAATTTCTATTTTTTTCCTTCTGTCATTTTAAAACAAAAGAAAACAAAAAAGCAAAACCCACAAAAAACAAAAACCAAACAACTGATTAGTTCCAGCTACCATTTACATTATTTCTTAAATGGAAAAGTCAACCTAAAAGTGAATTGAACCAAATTACTATTTTTAATAGGCTTGTTTCTCTTGAACTCCAGGGCAGAAAAGGATGGGTTGCATTTTGCAGAAGCTTGTAAGTCTGGGTGGTGTTTTTGAGGGTTAAGTTGCTTTTGTTTTAGGAAGAAAGTGAGTAGTGGTTAGGTTACCCAGGGGGGATTATCTGAGAAGTGTTTTGATCAACCCAGAAGATTTAAAGTAAATGAAGCAAATCGCACCTAAATTTTTTTTTTGAGCAGGGATGTCGTGCCGAGGTACATTCTTCCTTGTCCCCCAAGATAACAAAAGATTTGGAGACAGGGTTACTATTTATGAAGACCCAAAGACTGTTACAGACAGCTCCTGAGGCCATCTCTTAGCCCTTTTCAAAAATCCACACACATCACTAAGGAAAGTGCCCAGGCAACAGATCACACATTCGAGCCAAGTGAATCCCTCCCTCCCCACTGGACTTTAAATTTTCTCGAACCCTCTTTACTCTGTGGTTTGTTTTTTCATTCGGAACCGTTTGCTGGTGAGTGCCTACTATGCGGCAGTCACCGTTTCCAGCTCAGTGCCTCAGTTTGTTAAAAAAAATCACGCTGTGATCAAGAGCTGACAAAATGTGATGTCAGTGGGGGCTGGGGGATGTCGGGGAAGGCGTGTGGGGGACCGAGGCGCGGACGTCTCCCACCTTCGCGGACAGAAAACATTTTTTTCCCCCTTACATAGCAACGAATAGCTCGTAATATTTAAATCCCTGTTGCTTCCTGGGAGGGAAAAAATGTCACAAAAACAAAAAGCCCGACCAACACGTGGCTGGCTAGAACAAAACGCCGATTCGAGAGAGTGGGTTTGGAAGGTGGTGGAGGGAAGCCTCGGAAACCGAGTTGGAAGTCCTCCCCCGCCCCATTTCTCTCCGGCGCCCCGGGAGAGCGAGGAGGGGGACAAAGGTGCTGGGTGTCGGGTTTGTGAACTCCCGACTTCCCGAACGGCAGGCAATCCTCCGGCAGCAGGGCGGCGAGCCCAAGTCGGAGTTGGCTCTCGGACTCTGTGAACGAAAAAATAAAATAGAATGAAAATCCAAGCCATCCAGATCGCTGCAGTCAACACGTGTTACCGAGCCGGCCCGGGCCGCAGGCGACTGAGACAATGGGGTCGGGCCGGGGGGAAGGGGAGAGTGACCCCCTTCCTCACCTGCCCTCTCGGCGCGCGTGTCCCGGACGGCCCCCTCCCTCCCGCAGCCCCGCGCGGCTCGGGAGCATCCCTGGTTCGGGGGCGGGGGCGGGGGCGCCGCCGGCCCCCTTCCTCTCCACGGCGGCCAGGCGCGGGGCGGGGCGGGGGGGACCCCGGGATGGCGCCCGCAAGGCGTCCCGCGCGCTCCGCTGCGCGTCCGGGACTCCCGGCGCGCGCCACCCTCCTCCCCGCCGCGCCGACGGGGTGCGACCGCCCACGTGTCGCCCCTTGCCCAGTCGGGTGTCTTCCCTGGGGCTCCCGGGAGCCCGGAGGATCCGGAACGCGTCGGTCCGGGCCGAGGGACCTGGGCGGATCCACTTCCCCCTCCCCACTGGGGGGTGGGCGAGGGGGGAGGGCCGCGGCCCCCTCCCCCGCCGCCCGCTTCCTCGAGCGCCCAGCGGAAATCGCCCCCTCCCCGCTCGGGGCTGACCTGGGGACGTGGGCGGGGCCTCGCACATCCCCCCCCCCCGTCCACCTCGCCCCGCGGCCTTCGGAAACGCAGCACCCCAAACTTAAGTTCCGAGACCCCCCCGGACCCTGCGCGTGGGCCGCCGGCCCGTGCGCCTCGGGTGGAGGCGACGCCACCTGTCCGCTCCCGGCGCGGGGAGGGCGAGGGGACCCTCGGGTTTCCAGCCGGCCCCTCCCCTCCGACACCGCCCCCCTCCGAGGTTCTGGGTGAAGCGACCACCCCCCGGCGTCCTCTCCCCACCCCGCCGGGCTTCCGGGGTGCCCTGGAGCCGGGTCGCGGGCTTTCCTCCCCCCGCGAACGCTGGCGCGTCGTCACCCGGCAGCTGGACGGGGTGCGAGCCAGCTCTCCTCGAGCGGGGATCCCGAAACACGCTCTCCCCGCGGGTCCCTCGTTCGCGGGCGCCGTCCCCCCAGGGTCCCCAGCTTGCCGGCCCCGCGCTCTCGGGGTGCCCCGGACGCGGACCCCGGGAGGCCGGGGACGCCTCGCGGGGGTGTGGCGGGGGAGGCAGGGACCCCCCGCTCCGGGGACGCGGGGGAGAGGCGTCTCTCCTTCGGAAGGAACGGCTCGCGCGACCCCCTCCTGAAGACCCCAGAGTCCTCAGCTTCTCTTTGTCTGTCTCGGCCGTCCCCCGCCTGTCAGTCCTCAGCAGTTTCCCGGGGTGGGGTGGGCAACCCGGTCTCCAGAAAACGAATAAAAAAAAGCGTCGCACGTCTTTATTCCTGAGAACTGGGGAGCCTGGGGTCGCCTCCGCCTCCCCCCTCACACCCCCAGAGCTCCGCCGGTGCGGGTCGCGGTGGCAAGATGGGTGGGGGCGGGGCGCCTTAGGGGCCAGGTTCGGCCGAGGGAGAGGGGTCTGGGGGAGCCGCGGGGACTCTGCCTCCGCCTCCCCGGTCTGCCCTGGGGTGCGCCGAGTGTCCCCCCAAGGCCCGAGCCCGTCGCTGTCGGGTCGGTGCGGGCTGGAGGGCCGAGGGGCCCGGCGGCGTCGGGGGTCTTTCCCCGCAGGGTGGGTGGGGGCTGTCACCACGTGGCTTCGCCGTTTTTTTTTTTTTTTTTTTCCGCTCCATTTTTTTTTTTTTTTCAAGTCGATTTTATTTAGAGGCGGCGCCAGGGCGGCCGCGGAGAAACGTGACACACCAGCCCGCTCGCAGGGGTTTCGGAGCGAAGGGAAGCAGCCGCGCCGCGCCGTCCGCCTCCCCGAACTCCGCGGGCACTTTCTCCCGGGCCGAGCCGAACTCCCCCGCGACCTCCGCGTGCCCCGGCCGCCCGCCCGCCGCTCCGGACCACTCCAGGGGTGCGGTACGGTGAAAGTTTGCGGCTCCCGCCGCCCCGCTCCGCGCCTCTCGGCCTAGGAGGCTCCGCGCCTGCCCGCCCGCCCGCCCGCTCGGCCTCGCCCGGGACCGCGTCCCCGCCGCCGCCGCCACCATGAACAAGCTTTACATCGGCAACCTCAACGAGAGCGTGACCCCCGCGGACTTGGAGAAAGTGTTCGCGGAGCACAAGATCTCCTACAGCGGCCAGTTCCTGGTCAAGTCCGGCTACGCCTTCGTGGACTGCCCCGACGAGCACTGGGCGATGAAGGCCATCGAAACTTTCTCGGGTAAGAGCGCGGCCGCCTCCCCGGGGGGGGGGGAAGCCACCCAACGCGACGAAATCCCCGAACAACGGAGACCCGCGGCTCCTCTCCCCCGGCCCGCCAACTCCTCCCGGGCCCTGCGGGGCTCGGCCTCCCTCGACGCCCCCTCCCCGCGCGCACACACGCGGGGTCTCCCCCCCCCAGCCCGATGCGCCCCGGCAACTCGGCCCCCTCCCCACCGACGGGGCGGGAGCCCCCGCTGGCAACTGGTGGGGTTGGGGGGCCCCCGGGCACTCGGGTCCGGTCTAGGCGTGGTTTCCCCGTCGCCCCCCCGCCCGCCCCGCGCGCTTGGCTCCCCCCGAGCCCTTCCCCTCCGTCCTAGGCCTCCCCGGGAGCTGGGGCTCCCGCACCTCGGGTCTTCCCGCCTCTCCGCGTCCCTTCGGCGGGGCTCCCGCCTCCCGCCCGAGGCCCGGGGCTTGAGCCATTTTGATTTGAAAGTGGGGCGTGAGCCGGGTGGCGCGGCGGCGGCGGCGCCGGGTCGCCATGCTGCTTCCCGAGACGCCGAGGCTGGGCGGAGGGGCGCGCGGCTGCAGCGGGGGACCCTCCCCACCGGGCCACGCCGCGCCCCCCGGGGCCCTGCGCCGGCCCCGACAGGTGATGCCCGGCCGCCCGAACCCGCCCGGGCCTTGGCGGGGGAGTAAAGTTGGACTCTCCACTCCAGCCCCACTTTGCGAGAACCGGGGTGCGCCTCTCACCCCCGCCCCCCGGCTCCCTCCTCCCACTTCTGGAGCCGCAGAAGCGGCGCGCTCACGCAAACGCGCTCACACCTCTCCCAGAACCGGGCTCTCCGAGCCGTCTGCCTCGCCAGCCCACGTGATTCATGGAAATAAAACGAAAATCCGAAAAAGACAACGAAATGACGCATTCTGTCGTGCCTGGAACAAACTAGCCCCCCCTCCCCCTCCCCTGCTTCTGCAGCTAGTGCCTGGACTCCTAGGAGGGCCTAAGAATTCTTATATTTAGCTAATGTCCCTCACCCACCCTTCCTCCCCATCCCCCACTCCTGTGTGGCCATTCATGTGTATTTTTTTTTTTTTTTAATCTTCAGGGAAAGTAGAACTACAAGGAAAACGTCTAGAGATTGAGCATTCGGTCCCCAAAAAACAAAGGTAGGAAAAGTTCTTTTTGGGGGAGCCGAGGGGAACATACAAGGGTCCATAGCGTCTCCAGTGGCACAAACCCATTGCTGGCCTTTCCACCCCCAACTCCGGATGTTGGGGGGCTGGGAGAGAAGATTGGCCAAGATCTTGTAGTGGGTAGTTTTACAGCTTGAAAACAAAAACAAAACAAAAAGCAACAACTTGGGACTGGGGCGGGCTAAAAGATGTTACTTGAAATTAAAGAGAGAAAAAAAAATCAATAGGGTAGAGGCCTTGTGGAGTTAGCTCAAAGTGTGGGAACGGTTTTGTAGGGCCGCTTAAAAGCGGGGAGTTCAAACGCGTGGCGCCACGGTGGTGGTTTCTGTGACTTCTACCAAGCCTCGTTTTTTTTTCTGTTTCTATTTTTTTCCACATCCTATTTTCTAAGTGGATTTTAGGGGAATCCTTTTCCTGTTGGGGGTAAATGAGCCACCTTCCCCGTTCGAATCTCCTTACGCCGCGCTAATAATTTCTGTTACAGGCGTGGATTTTTTGCTCCCCTCGCAGACCCTCAGCCCAAAGTGCCTCCCATCTTATACTGCCCCCTCAACTGGATTTCCAAAGAATATTCTTTGGCTGTACTATCCCTTTTCCAACCCCCCCAACCCCCACTCCTTCAGCCCATTGTTACAAGGGACCATCTGGGGTGAGAGCTTTGTACTCGGGGCTGTGAGCTGGGTCTCTTTGGAGGGTCTAGAACGCAAAGTGGATGAATGGGTGTGTGTGTGTGTGTTCTCATGTGAGTTCCTTTTACCCGGTAGCCCATCTTTTCCAGCAAAATGGGGTATCTCCATGTTGCTTCCTTAAAGTCCACCCAGTCCCCTTGAATTCTGAAGTCTTTGAACTGTGGAGTGTAAGGGCAGTGTTTCTGAACGTGTTGACAGTGCAGTTTTCTTTCCTGTCCTTAGTTGGAAGCAACCCTGGGTATATTTTTGATCCCCTCAATCCCTCTTTCAACTGGAAACCTGCTGTGTTTCTGAACAGTTTTGGTCTTTCCTAGGTAGAAAGGTGGGGGTGTGTGTGGGTTTTTTTTTGTGGGGGGGTTACTTTCAAAGAATCTAGAAAGTTTAGCTGAAGATAATATCTTCTGTGGTTTGGCTTCAGGTTTTTAAGTAACCGAATTACTGTATCTATAGATAGATGATCAATATGTCTTGTGTCTATGTGTATAGAGCGTGACTAGTTGTCAAATGTTTGAGATAGTGTTGTTGGAAAGGTGATTAGAATTAGTGAAAAGGCACTAAAATTTGGAGGGAAAGAAACCTTATTTTGAAAAAAAAATTTTTGACATGAGAATAACATAATTGATCAGTAAATTCCTTGAAGATTATGAATATTTGAATTCAAAGCTGTGTTGATGGGAACATTAGCTATTAAGCTGGAATTTTGAAATGTGTGAAATGTGTTTTCTTTCCTTTCTGCTCTTGAGGATGGTTTAAAATTGAAAGCTGAAGAAGGGAAAAGAGAAAGAAATAGCAAGATGTGGTGAAATGGAACTCAAAACATTTATATTTCAATTTTCATGGTGCCCTGTATTTGTGGATCTTTCTCTTTAAGCCATCTGCTTGCTTTGAAGGCATTTCTATCTAGGCTCCTTGTTCCCTCAAATGCATTACTCAGGGCTCTTTTGAATTGGAGTGGAAAGGGGGTTTAAATTTTTTTTTTCCCCTTTTCACATACATAATAAATTAGATCTTTTGTGTGTTCTCCCTTTTTCCGAAATATTTTTGGACCAATCACCCCCTGCCCCTTTGGGTAGTGGCGGTGAGAGGAGACTATTTCCAGCATGAACCAATTTTTGAAGTCCCAGGACTTAAAAAAAAGTTTGTTTTCATTAAGTCAGTTTTGTTTTTCTTGAGAAAGCCTGTGCGGCGTTTGTCTAGTTTGTGTTTGAACATACTCCTTCAGTTGAGTCTGTCATTGGCATTTTCAGTCTCAGAGAGAGAAGAGAATGTAGCCAGGACTAACATTCTAAGCAGAATGAACTGTAGAAGTGTATTTTTTTTTTCTCTGTATTGTGTTTTCAGTGTTTAAAATTGAACTCTTGATATGCGCAGTTGCAAATGAATTATGATTTAAAAGTATTACTGTGTTTGTTTTCCCTTTGACTGATTTGATAAATATGATTTATACCTTTGTAAATATGGCTGGATGCCATATTTAAGCTGAAAACAGTAAATAATCTGAATTTTTAATATGAGAGACATTCAGTTTTACTTTTACCTTCCCCAGCCCTCTCTTAGCCAATGCTGGAATTTGGTTAGCAATTTTGGCTTTTGTTGAGAATTAGATTCACAAGGACCCAACGCATTTTAAAAAGTTATGCAGCTTTTCCATTTGATAATGTTTTCTTCCAAGAGACTTAAGAGTAATTGAGGTAAGGAAGGAGGTGCCTTTTTAGGCTTAGGGAGGGATTTACTTGAATGAAATTTATCTTACACCTACCCCTGAGGCCTTTTTTTAGAAGAGTATGTCCTAAAAACCTTGCTTATTTACGGTTAGCTGGTGCCATCAAAACAAAATGTTGCTGTTAATATAAGAAAGATATGTGATGCTCTTCTGTTTCTAGGTGATCCCAAGGGCGAGTTGAGAGTTCTTACCTTTAAATTGATTTAAAGTTAAGTGGGTTAATGCTTTCTCCTAAATTTCCAATGACTAAAGTGAAAATTGGGTTTGTTTTCCAGGGGCAAAAACATATTCCAATTTGATTTCTATTTTGTAATTTAAAATTTCTGGACTTATCACTTTCAAAATCTGTGAGGGGCTGTTTTGTACATGGCAGGAAATATTTTCAGCTTATTTAAAGTGAACTGTAGAAAAGTTGAATAATTGAGTCACTAGATCTTTTTAAAACATGTTAAAACTACCTTCAAAAAATAAGTTCGGGTTTAATCAAAAAGCAAACAGCAGTTTGGAGTTAGGGGCTGAAAATGAAAGGAGGAAGGTTGAAAGATAACCTGCCTGGGCTTTTAAAGCACTTAGAAGTTCGGGATTATGTATTAATACCCAAATCCAAAAGGACCTTAGCTCAGATAAGGTGAACCATATATGGGGCAAAAGACACACACACACATAAAATTACAGGTAAAGTCTGGTGTGGGGGCACACACCTTCAGTCCCAGCACTTGGGAGGCAGAGGCAGCCATATACATTTATGAGTTTGAGGCCAGCCTGGCCTACAAAGCAAGTTCCAAGACAGCCAGGGCTACAAAGAAAACTCCCCATCTTGAAAACAGTTTAAAAAAAGAAACAATTTATAACTTTTTTAGTAAAAAGAATGCTAGGTGTTTTTAAGTGAAAAAAAAAAAATGGACATCTTAATTTTCTGCAGTGTTTGGAGAAAACATAAATACTGATGTTCTTCCTTTTATTTTAGTTTCCACTAAGAACTGAATTTTACATATATTAAATTTAATGAAAGCCATAATTTTCTACAATGAAAAAAAAAGAAATGAATTTTACAAACTCATAGATTTCCTGTATTGCTAGTAAAACCCATACTTTCTTAACTCACTGGTTCATATTTGAAGACAAGACTTGCCTGAGTATAAAATTAACTGTCCTTGAAAGCACTGTGAATTTCTTAACCCTGGCTTTTCTGATCTGAATTAGAAGATGAAATTTTACTCTTAATGGTTTCTCAGGTGAAGAATGTTGAGTAAACTGATTCCCATCACTAAATTCAGACTGACATTATTTCAGTTGTCTAGTTTGATGGCGTAGGTTTTGGTGTCTTAACAGCAACTGAAAGACTCTTGGTTCAAAGTTTCTTAATTTAAAGTTTCTGGGTGTCTGACCTTTAAAAATTGCCCTAAAAGATCCTTTGAATCTATTTCATGTGTGTGGCTGCTTTTACGGCTTTAGGGGTTTTTGTTTGCTTGTTTTGTTTTTTTCTTTATGGTTTATTCTGTGCTTTAATGTATACCAGCCAGTTGACAAAGATAGCATTGAGACAGACTAGTGAAAAACACTTTAAAAATGTGTTTTTAAACCTTACATTTGAGCAGAACGTGGTGGTGCATGACTTTAATCCCAGCACTCTGGAGGCAGATGCGGATTTCTGTGAATTTCAGGACAGCCAGGGCTATGTACGGAGAGTCTGTCTCAAAGAAAACACAACAAACTTACATTTGGTTTGACTAAGTTTGCATAGGAGGAGATTATCAAGCATTTGGTTTTGAGACTGGATCTCATTGTGTATTTCAGGCTAGCCTGGCCCCAAGGTAATGGCAATCCTCCTGCCTCAACCTCTGGAGTGCTGTGATTACAGGTGTGAGCCACTAGCTCTGGCTGGCTGTTTGGAGTTCAGGGATCATTCATTCATTCATTCATTCATTCATTTATTTATTTATTTATTTATTTATTTATTTTGCTTTAGAAAAACTTCTTGGTGCATAACTCAGTTTGTGTGTGGAAGGAGGCAGGGAGAGCGTCATAGGAAAAAAATGAACCTAAGGCAATTAAGGAAGTGACATCTTCCTATCTTAACAGTTAAATTGTCTGGTTTTGTCTCCCCACCTTAAAAGATTGATTCTAAGACGGGCTTGTTTTTTAGAAAGTGCAACTTAAATTTGAGGATGGTGATGAGAAAAGGGAGAGTCAGACTGAAAGGGATGAGGGATTAGAGAGTCAGGCTTTGGATTTCCCACCTCAGTTTTAAAGAGGGGCCACTGGAGGCCCCTCTTTACCTCATCACGTCCTGTCACCGGTTTTGGGACACAGACGCAGCCGTGGAAGGCTAATTTTGCTCTGGGAGGTTTTGGACTTCCCCTTTTCAAAAACAGGGTAGGGTGGGATACAGGAGAGCTCTGCCCCAGGCTCTTCCTGGAGAACCCCCATTGGACCCTCCTCCTGCTCCTCCCCTCTTGTTCTGTCCTGAGCTGGGCAATACTCCCCCTACCCTATCCCCAGGGTCCTCAAGATCCTGGATCAGGACTTAGTTCCTGGCGCTTAGATCTCAAAGCTCACAA